ACCCCCCCCCCCTCCTGCCCCCCAGCCGCGTTTCCAGTGCTGCCGCTCGTTCAAAGGAAGATAAATGCAAAAATCATTTCATGAGACTTTGCTTCGGTCTCCATTTGCTTGCATTACTGTGAGTCTCCCAGTTGCCAGCCCTGGTCCCCTGGGAATTTTGGCCGCGCGGGGATGGCACCGTGCCGGCAGCCACGAAGCGCCCAGGCTGCATTGGTGGCGATGTCCTGGTACGAACACGGGAGCAGGTCTGCGACCCACGGCTGGCAGCGGTGGCAGCGCTGGCCTCATCCCACCAGCAGAGCGGACATTGGACCTGGGTCACCATGAGGGGATGGTGGCCGGGCTGATTTTCAAGAAAGCTTAGAGGGGAGAAGCGCGGCTGCTGCGCGGGGGCCGGGGAGCCGCGGCGGGCAGGCTGGGCTGGGCACGGGGCGTCTCGGGGAAGGAGGGAGCAGGCAAGAAGCAGGAAGGACAGGACAGACCGTCCCCGCTCGGACACGCAGGGATGAAATCAGGTCTAACGCTCAGCTGGAGCTAACACTACGAAAGGGCGGGCAAGAAGGGGGAGCTAACGTGTTCGCCAGTAGCAAAGGGCAGCTCAGAGAAACGCGGGTGCGCCGAGGGAAGAATTTGATGCTTTTTGCCTCCATCGGCAAAGCCTGCTCCCAGCCCCCAGGGCTACCGGCGTCGCCTAGAAGACTCAGGGCTGGCAGAGGGGGGACCAGAGTCTGGGGTCCTGCTCAGAGGTGCCCCAGCCTGGAGCCTGTCCCCCCGTGCGACTCGGGGATTGCCCTCGTTCCCTCTGACCCCACGGATTCGTTCCCTGCGACCCAGCGCCTCGGCTCACGTGCTCTTGACTCTGGCCCTTCGGTAGCCATAGCTAATTATTACCAACTGTCCTAGTAAGTCACGAGGGACATGGCTTGGCCCTGGAGGTGGTTGACCGATGGTCCGGATCGAGCAGCCTGGGGAAAGTCAGGACTTTGCCATTCAGAGACATTTATGGCCCAATTACGCAAACGCTGGTGGAGCGGCGGCTTCGGTGCATTTGCCCAGAAGGGTGGTTGGTTCCCTCACATCGCTCTCATCTCTCCGTTCCCATGATATGTGGTTTTCTACTGTTGGGTTTTTTTTCAACGGGGTGAAAATGAGACGCACAGTTCTTCATCTGCTCCACTTGTTTTGTGCTACAATGCATTTTGGCCCATACCCCAAAATTAAGCAGTGCTTAATTTGGAAGATAAATAAGTGTGAAAACCTTTTAGGATGATAGTTGCCAAATAAAGATTAGGAAAAGAACACAAAAGAAATTACAATGAAAAGCAGCAAGTATCATTTTTAGCCTGGGCTTTTTATTCCAGTGATTACTTCTTGGAAACAAAACCCAAGCCATGCACATGGCTGGAGAGAGCGAGAGGAAAATAAACGTATTTTGCACCAGCTGGCTGTTGGCCAGGGGTTGGTGGAGGAAAGTTGTGGTCTTTGCCACGATGAACTGTCCAGCTGGGAGAAAGAGATCTCCAAAAATCTCCTGGAGGATTTCTGTATCCCAATTTGTTCAGCGCAGGTCAGAGGTGCACTGAAGGAAGTGCCAAAAATCTGCTCATAGAAAATGTCCCTGAAATTCAGTGTCTGGACCTAGGAACGCGTTGCTGTGTCAGCCCCGCCGGAGAATGTGGGGCCATATGGCTGCCTGCGGAGGCAAGGCCATCGCACAACAAAAAATCCGTCAGCAGATGCCTTGGGAGGCTGACGCACAGCCCCTTCCCGCCGGGGCGGGGAGAGCGGCGAGAGCACGCCTCGGCCAAACCTCCGCTCGCCAGGTCCCCCGCGGAAACGGGGCCAGGCAAAGCGCCTGCCCGCGCTAACGCTGCCGGGGCGGCACTGGGGATGCTCCCTGACAGTCTTTGCTCAGATTTTTAGGTGTTACTGCAACCAAAGTCAGGAGGCGAGTGGGGAAGTGGCCGCACGGAGGATGCTCGGACACGGGGACCCCGGCACCCCCGTGGCGGCAGCGCGGTGGCAGCACTCAGCTGCGGGGCTGGAGATGCTCAGGGCTGCGCTCAGCATCACCCCATGGCAACCGCGGCTCTGAGCGCTGGGCTCTGCCCTTGCGCCTTGTGCACAATCCCACGCCGCGGGTAGGGGAAGGGGCGCAGCTGTGCGGTGAAACTGAGCTGATGTGCCCCGCCTTCGTGGCAAATCTGGCAGGATGCAGCCCGTCGGGCAAACACAGCCTTTAGTCCCCCTCCTGCTCCCCGCAAAAGCAGGAAGGTTGCAGGGAGAAGCCACGGGCTGGGGCGGCAGGTCCGGACCTCACACGCAGTGGCAGCGGTGGCTTACGCTGGCTCGCTCCCCTCGGCCCTGCGGGGGCCCAGCCCGGCTCTTATCGCAGAGACGCCTGCGCACAGCAGAGCCATTAGTCAGCCCTGGGCCACTGACCTGGGGCCAAGATAACACAGTCTGAAGGCCATCCCCTCTCCGCCGGGCATGAGGCAACCTGTGAAAACACCTTTGAGGAATTAGGGCGACAACACAAACCGCTGCCTTCCCCTTTCTTGCCAGCTCTGGACCAGGCAGAGCGGATGTGGACTGATCCTGCCCTGTTCTCAGCAGCATAAACAGTCCCCGAGGTCTGCTGAAACACGGGACCCTCACAGCCCCGAAGCACACGGCTGGGGAGAGGGGACACCGCCACTGAGCGCGGGTGAGCGTCAGCCCCTTGTCCACCTGCGTGGTCCCGCCCGGCGCTGCGTGGCTGCCGTGGGAGGGATGGAGGGAGCCCTGGGATGTCCCCAGCCCTCAGCAAGTGTCTTTCCAGATTCACCACCCTGAGGGCTGACTCAGGCCAAGCTGGGAAAGCCCGGCAGCACTCAGGGTCCTGCTGCTCAGCCTGGCAGAGGAGCCCGCGCTACCAGAGCCCCTCGGCGTGGGAAGCAGGGGCTGCTGCACCCCCGGGAGCTGTTTGCCTGCAGGGCCCTGCCCCAGCGCCTGGAGAGGAGGGCTGGCTGCAGGGGAGGTGCTGGGAGCTCTGCCGGTGCTTTTTGCACAACAAAGCCATGGGCTGTTCCTTTATCTTGTTCTCCCTCCTCCCCTATTATCAATAGTTTTTCTGGTCCAACTGGATTTCCCTGCTGCCACATCCCCAACAAAGGGAGAAAGTCCACGCCGCAGAGGTGAGGGTGAACCCCCCACCCCTGTGCACCAACGGCCTGCCCCAAACCTCTCTGCAATTAGGGAACATAAAAAGCGCCTGGTAAATCACCAGCAAAGGGGGTTTTGTGCTGACCTGGAGCCGGCCCTCGCCTCTGTTGCACTCCCGCAGCGCCCAGTCAGCCACGGCTGCTCGAGAGCAAGGCATCTGGAGGGAGCACCCGCTCCGTGCTGGGGACCTGGGCGCTGGCGTCCAGCTCCGGCTGCTCTGTGCCTGGTTTCTTGCCTGGGAAGGAGAGAGACAGGAGTCAGCCTGGGTGTGCCACCACAGCACGAGGCTGCCTTGGAGCCGCGTATGGCACACGCAGTGGCTCTCTCCCCTGGCTGGGGGCCAGCACTAGCAGGCTCCCCAAGCCCCAGGACAGGGTGCAGAGCCCACCTCGCCCCCGCTCCTGGTCAGCCCTACCCTGCTCTCCGGAGCCTGAAAGGCAGGGTTGGGCTGACCAGGAGCGGGGACAGAGATGGGCTCTGCACTGCTCGCTCGTCCCTGAGGCCTCTCCCCGGCCCAGCAAGTCCCCGTCCGCTTCCTCCTGCTTTGGCTCCAGCCCCAGTCGAGGGGCTACGTGCCTGCAACCATGCAGCAGGACACGGTCCCTGCTTCTAGGCAGGCGAGCAGTCACACTGCAAAAAGGTAAGAGATGGAAACCAAACAAAAGATTCGAAGCCCTGCCAGGAAGGTGATGCTGTGAGAGCTCCTGGGTGACGAGTGGATCGGTCTCCCGCAGCCCAGCAGGGAATATCTAGAGGCTGTTGACTTCTGGGGAATCCAGGGAGGAGCTGGGCACATCTGTACTAACGGCTCGTGGTACTCACCGACAGCTTCACAAAAAAGCAGGGCTGACACTACAGCAGCTTCCAGACACGCTAAAGCACAGTTGTGTATTCCTTCCCCAAATCAGACATCTCTGTTTAAATCCAGCAGACCCTGGAGCTCCTGGCTGGCAGCGGGGAAAGACGTTGCTGGTTGCTGGCACCGGGTATCGCGTCCGCGCACGAGGAGGAATTGCTGCGTCTGAGGCGTCTCTCAGGATGCCAGACCCGATCCTGCCGTCAGCCCCTCCGCTGCTGTCTTCAGCGCTGTACCACGTTGCACAAGCCGTGGCTGCACCTTTGCACGTGCTTTGCAGCTGCAAGAGTGGCACTCACAGGTACCAAACCTCTTCTATGCATGTCCCTACATACCCCAAGGAGCTCCCGGGCCATAAACCCTACGGGCAGGCGGGCGTTACAAAGCAAAGGACACTGGGGGACGATAGCCTGACGCAGCGTGGGCAGCTGCGGGGCTGTGCTGGCACGGACACGGCCTGTGCCCAACCTGGATGTGCCAGACACGGCACCGTGCTGACAGGTCCCTGGACAGGAGCTGCCACCTGGCGGCACTGGGACAATCCTGCTGGCCTGCCAGCCGCGAGGACCTGAATGGGGACATTTGGGGGGGCACCATGGCACCGATGGTTCGGCTACTCTGGGAAGGCTGGGGCTGCTCCGGCACAGCCCCGCGTTGCCGCTTTCACCCTGGGACACACACCCAGGTGGGGAACCCACCCAAGCCCTGAACCCTGGCTCTTGCCAAGGCTGCTCTGGCTGTAGCTGCCCTCCACAGGTTTTGCTACACCAGTTTGTGGCAGGCTAGAAGCTGGCTGGCAAATGCCACCTCCAAACCCCCTCCGCTTCCCATGGCCACTCCGGACCTGATGCCGCAAGGTGAGGTGGCTCTGGCGAGACGCAGCTGGACTTGTGCTCCGCGCGAGGTGTCCCCACATGCGCTGCGCCTCGGCCAGCCCACGGTGGGATGGGACACCTCGGTGCGGGGGGCCAGAAGCAAAGTGAGGAGGCAAAGGGGGCTGTCAGGTCAGAGCTGCTTTTCTGGGGCCAGAGAGGATGTGGCTGAGAGCTTGCTGGGAATCTCCAGACCACAGCAAAGGGCCTTCTCCAGCCAAGATTATCCCTGATAACACCAAACTATGGCAGCTGTGCCGAGAGGAGAGCCAGGAGGGAACAGGCTCTGCTGGTGGAGAAAGCCTCCTGGGAAGTTTCCTTCCCTTGACTCTGGGAAGCCTCAGCTGCAAAGAGGAGCTGGGCACCAGGGGAAAGCACAGGCTGGAGGCCACCAGCCCATCCCCAGAGCCTCCTCGCCCACCGCGGTCCCCTCGCTCAGCAGGACTCGGTCCCATCCTGCTTCCCAGAGGAGAGGGAAACAAAAGAGGAGGGAGGGGGAAGGGAAGGGTCTAAGAGAAACTTCTTCCAACTTCTCAGGAGGAGAAAAGCCCTATTCAGGCAGGAAGAATACCCGTGCGGAGCCGGTCACTAAGCAACCCGCAGCAATTCGGCAGGGCCCGACGCACAGGCAAGGAGCAAAGCTGCCTCCCTGCCCGCCAAGAGCCCAGCCAGGCGAGCGCTGGGCCGGGAGAGCCTGCAGGGCCCGGGGACAGGGGACACCAGCCGTGCACGGCCACCGCGAGGGGCTGAGACACCAGCAGGGTCCAGAGCTCCTGGGTGCTGTGGGAGTTTGTCCTTGGTCGGCTCTGGAGGGTGACCAGCCTCCATTGGGCTCCCCCTTCATGGGGAGGCCATTTGCTGTGCAGGGAGGATTTCTGGTCTGCTCCAAAGCCCGTGGCTCCCCGTGGGTCTGGTGTTCACACGGGGCTCCATACACCATTCCCAACAGAGGCACAGCGCATTTCGGGTAACTCCCTGCTCCCACAGATGCTGCGGGGCTTGTGTGGACGGAGCAGCCAACACAGGCTACACCCTCTCCTTCATTTAGATTATCAACGTGGGGAGTTGTCCTTTGCAAACAAGCTTACTGAGACATGAGAAACTGCTTGGCCGCTCTGCAGCACAAGGGAAAAAGGGACAAAGGAAATCAGGCCTGACAAACCCTGCTGACAATCTGCGCTGAAATGCCTCCCTCGGAGCCCGGGGGTCCCTGGAGACGCTGCTGCTCCCAGCACCAACGCTGCACAAAAGGAAAACCACTCGCAGCCAGAGCAGGTCCACTGGGACCAGTCAGTGTGCAGCTGGGCCCCAGTCCAGAGCCTGATGAGCCCGGGGAGATGCACTGGACCTGCCTGGACACTGGAAGTGGCTTTTTGTCTGCATGGTGTGATGGGGGAAACATCCAGCCCTTCATGCATGTGTCTCCAGCACCTGATACACCTGGAGAGCAGTTGCTGGGACAAGGACAACCTCGCCAGGTGTTCCCCCACTTCCTCAGGAAGGGGTTTGGCCAGCTCTGATCCCTGCCCTGCAATAGCAAGGTGAACAAGTGGGGGATGCTCAGGTATGCCCACACAAGGTGGGGCGCACCTGCAGATGGAGGTATTCTCATTAACACTCAGTCCTGCCCTTTCCTGGCTTCATCATCCACTATCTCAGCCTTTAAGCAACTGCTTTGGACACACACTAAACAACCACAACACGCAGGGCTGCAATGAAAAATCAGCTTGGCCAAAGTAGTGCCATTTATTTTGTTTGCAAAACCCCTTTCAGAAGGTCAACACGCTGCAGGCTTGCTGGCTGCCACCAGGCTCCTCTCAGTGCGATGGGGGACAGGCCCTCCAGCCAGCAGCAAGGATGGACAGCGTCCATCCCTGGACCTGGAGAGCTCCTACCTCCCCTGGCGAGAGGGCAAACACAGCGCTCCTGGCACAGCTGGGAGCCGAGCGTGCCAAAGCCCAGCTAAGCAAGGACTTGGCACACCAGGACCGCGACACAACATTCACATGTCCTGCAGCCAGGGAAGCCCCAGAGCAAGAGGCACCAAGTCTGGCACGCCTGCTGCACCATGGAGAGCATTTACCTGCCCTTGAGCTGATGGTGGTGCTCCTTCAGAGGTGTCATGATGGGGCCACGCTGGGAAGCAGAAGTGAGACTCATCCTCTCTCAAATTAGACACCTGGGAGTGTCCTGTCCATCCTTTTTATCTGCAGGGAGCAGAGTGAGAGCAGCACCTCCAGGAATTAAGTCAACCTGAGACAGGATCCGCATGTCCACCTCCATTCACTGAAGGCTGAGGGAGCTTGCTTAGACTATACACCCCGCTGCAAGATGGGCACCACTAATGGAGAGGATCCACCCAGAACAAAAGTAGCCCCAGCCTGAGGAGCATTTCCTTGCAAAGAGAGAAAACCTGGATGAAGATGCAGGACACTGGACCATATGCTACCCAGATCCATCCTGGATTCTTCTCTGCCAATACCAGTGCCTACAACCAGCAGCAGCAGTCTTGCAGCATAGCCAGATGGGACTTCTTTGTTGGCGTGCAGCATTTTCTTGTTGGTGTTCTCCTGGTCTGTAGCATTTGCACATTCGTAGAAACATTGTGAGAGAATAGAGGTGCTGAAGGAGGGAAATATCTCCGTGGGGATGAAATGTGCCTGGAAGTCCAGAGCTAACCTTGGCTCCGGTGGTCCTCTTCCGTTCCCAGTGAGGTGTTGGTGAGATTTCCCAGGCAATGGCCCTTGCCACACAATCAGGATCCCTGGTAAAGCTTCATGATATTCTCATCGTGAAGCTTTTTCCACACCTCCTTCTCCAGGTTGAAGTCGTGGTTAATGTAGAAAATCAGACGTTTCCAGTCCTTGTCATAGTAGTGATCCGAGTACTTCTGGTGACCCTCCGTGATGTAGCCATAGGCACTCACCTGGGAAAGATGGGGTCTCACTGGGGAGAGGTACCAAGGATGGAGGGAGCTAAGTGAAATACAGGGGACAGTTCCCAAAGGGGGAGGAGGGAGCACAGGACAGGAAT